CGCAACTGGTCCTTCTGCCTCTTCTACGTCATGGCTGAGCTCTGGGGCAGCGTCGTCGTCTCCGTCCTCTTCTGGGGCTTCGCCAACCAGGTATGCAACTTCTATGTGTTAACTGGGCGCCATTTTCTGGAATTTAAGTTAACAATTGGTCTTTTGTGATCATCGTTTTTTTTTTTCCGACCCTGTCTTCTTAACGAGTTTAATTGTTTATGTCAATTGTAATAACATTGCAGATCTGCACTGTCGATGAGGCGAAGCAGTTCTACCCGCTGTTCGGTCTCGGCGCCAACGTGGCGCTCATCTTCTCCGGCCGCACCGTCAAGTACTTCTCTGCACTGCGCGGGCAGCTGCCGCCCGGCGTGGACGGGTGGGGCATCTCGCTGCAGGGCATGATGTCGATCGTGGTGGCGTTCGGGCTCGTCATCTGCGGCGTGTACTGGTGGGTCGACCGCAACGTCGTCAACGACCCCTCGCTGCCCAAGGGCACCGGCAAGAAGAAGGTGCGCCCTGGGGGACTGGACTGGGGGATTGGGAGAGTGGGTGGGAAGATTGAAAGATGCGTTGGATGGAATGCGGATAAGGGAAACTGGGTTGTGATTGTTGACGGCGTGTGTGTAATTTCACTGAGAGCCAACATTGATTTCCGGAGCTGATCCGATTTGTTCCACGTCTTCACTCTCCGCTTCTCACATGCTTGCGGTCCCTTGTTTGTCTCTCCTCTATGTGCTTGTACCGAACGCTGCTTGTAACAGAAGTCGAAGCCGAAGATGAGCATGGGCGAGTCGATGAAGTTCCTGCTCAGCTCTCGCTACGTGCGCGACCTCGCGACGCTCGTCGTGGCGTACGGAATTTCCATTAACCTCGTCGAAGTCACCTGGAAGAGCAAGATCAAGGCCCAGGTGAGGACTTGACTCCGGTTGACCTGCGTTGACTTGCGGTGCGTTTAACAACGTGTAAATTGACTTGATAAGAGCCACCAGAAAGCGCGCCCTTTTGAAAAAGCGAGCACTGCTGGGGATTCTAACCTTCAATTTCGTTTTCAAACGCTCACCTTTGCTTCTTCTTCAAACGAAGCCACTATCTGGAAGTTGTGGGGTTTACATTAACCGTCGCTAATAAATCTGCTCCTTTTCCCTGTGCAGTTCCCGAACCCCAACGACTACTCGTCGTTCATGGGCGACTTCTCGTCCATGACGGGCATTGTCACCTTCGCCATGATGCTCCTCTCGCGCGTCATCTTCCGCAAGTACGGCTGGGGCACCGCCGCGCTCATCACGCCCACCGTGCTCCTCCTCACTGGCGTCGCCTTCTTCGGCCTCGTGCTCTGCGGCGGCCCTCTCACGCCCGCGCTCGCGAGCATCGGCATGACGCCTCTGCTGGCCGCGGTGTACGTCGGTGCAGCGCAGAACATCTTCAGCAAGAGCGCCAAGTATTCCCTGTTTGATCCGTGCAAGGAGATGGCGTATATCCCTCTGGACGAGGAGACCAAGGTGAAGGGCAAGGCTGCCATTGACGTGGTGTGCAACCCTCTGGGCAAGTCCGGTGGCGCTCTGATTCAGCAGTTCCTGATCTTCGCGTTTGGGTCGCTGGCCAACTCGACGCCGTACCTGGGTGCTATCCTGCTGGGTATTGTGGTGGCGTGGCTGGCGGCTGCACGGTCGCTGGATGCGCAGTTCACCCCTCTGGCCGCTGAGGAGCTCCAGGAGAAGAAGGCCGAGGCGGAGGAGAACAAGCCTGAGGAGGTGAGACTTTTGACTTGTGACATGGATTGGGATTTGAGGTTCAGGGTTTGAGGTTTCTATTTGCACCTTGGGTTTTGGCCATGGACAGTGGTTTCGATTACAATGGCAATGCTTCTTCTATCAAGTTGTTTGTTGTGTTGCTGATGTATCCACCTTATGTGTGCTGCTCCTATGCGGTATGCAGGTTGAGCTCAAGTTTGTGAGTTCCATCAACGACAAGGGCTTTATTGAGGGCAAGTATGTGCCTGTGTCAGAGGCTGATGGCAAGACCCCCCCTGCTGCTTGAAGCTGCTTGCTCTTCCCAAAGAGTCATGCTATTGTGGGCTGACTGTTACTTGAGGATCCATGGCACATCGTAGCTTGTAGACTGGATAGTGGGAAGTGAGTAGTTTAGTTCCCCTGCGCCATGTTGAATGCTGAGCAGGCCTCGAGCTGGGGACTGTTGCATGCACTTCTGACTGCAGGAGCTTCTGCTGCTGCTGTTGTCACGACTGGTTGTCTCTAGGCTAGTATCATGGACCAAAATGTGTCCTGTATGGGTTTGGTGAATGCTCTTACAGACCAACACAGTTATTGTGATGTGATCCCTCCAATTTCACAACTACAAATACTGGTAATCAACATTAGTTTATATGAACATCATCACATCACTGTCAGAAAGAAGCTACCCCAATTGCATCACCCACAATTTTTTCGTGCCTTGTTTGTTCCTTTTGAGATGGTCCTTTACTAAATGCTGCAAGACTGGATTATATCTATGACGTTAACGGCGAAATTTTTCTTCCAGAATGAGGGTGCGGTGTGGGGTACATCCCAGATCTGAAAACGAGTCATCGTTTTAACCAGCTAGAAAACTAAACTATATAAGTGGTGTACTAGTTTTGCAGTGTTTGTATCCACTTGTACCCGTTACTGTTTTCAAGCCTCTGACTAAAACGCCCCACCGATCAAATTCACCACACTGCGAGTGAGCCCCCTCCGCTCCTCGCGCAATGTGGAGCAGATGATCGTCAGTGTCAACCGAGAAGCCCTCGTTCTCAAGCCAATTTCACAGAGACTTGAATCAGAGCATTTGTGTAACGTGTTCTACTATGGGGTCGTCGGACCTTCCCAAGTTAGGTAGAACGTTCTCAACTAGTGGGCTTCCGACAAATGTGTGCATCAGCTCCCCAAGTAAGGACTTGAACGGAAGTTACTCAAACTCTAATATTGCACGTCACGGATCTTTTCTCCAGCTGGTAGGAGGGGTGTCACCAACATCTCGAAATGTGGCTACAAGTCATGCTTCGCTCTCTGAGCATGATGTCCAGCGTCGCCTCGCAATGCCTAAATCTGTTCCTCCAAAAGGGACGAAATCCTCTGAAATTTCCAGCTTTGAATCACCAAAACGAAGACGTTCATCTGGGTTGCATATTGAAAATGAAGTTAATCCCAAGAGAGCTCTGACTGAATCATCCCTCAAACTGCTCCATACCTATAAAAAAGATTGCTCTGACAGCAGCATTTGCGGGCATTCGACATTTTCTGGAAACTCATTGCAAGGTAATGATGGTCTCGTTAACCGCTTCTTCTCTTCTTATGTGCCGAAGCTCTCATATTCATTGCTAAGAACACATAGTCTCAGGTGCTGTCTATCCCGAGGCTTCCGAAGAACCTGTGTTTGGGATCGGACAATCCCTGTCACCGCCTGCTACACGTGCAAATATGGAATGTGAATCAGAAGCAGATGAAGTTCCTGACATACGGTTTAGCAACATTTCAAGCCTTTATTCATCACAAGACTCTCAGCTCCAAGCACTTCTTGCGGATTGGAACAGAGATTCAAACCATGCGCTGTTGCCAGATCGTGTGCTGAGGGACAGGAACAGCTCTGAACTTCACATGTGCAGATCCTCAAAGCAAGCACCCCCTAGTGTGCGGTACACCGAGTCAGGTGGATCCAGAAGTCTCGAAGGGAAGGCTTATGACAACAGAGCCAGCAATCATGAGCTGAGGTTGTCATGCGTTTCCACAGAGCTTCGATTATCCAACGAACCAAACAGCAAGCGAGAAACACCAACTTTGCATGTGCGAGGAAGTGGAAGATTCGATGGTAGATTCTCAGACTTGGAAGACTTTGGCAAGGACTGGACTGCGGAAGGTAACGTTTGCAATTTCACTATCCCGTCCACCTTGAGGTTTACTTCATGTCCTTGTGAACGTATTATGCAGGAACTCTTGGTCAAAGCAGTCCAAGCAAGGTCGCACACTATCCTCCAAATGACCGACAAAATGCTTCTGGGGTGGAACAACAGGCAAATTCAATGGTCATGCTGCTGGAACATGAACCCTCATCTGTATCTGGCCCTACCGAAATCAACATTTCACAGGTTGGAAGCATGAACTTCACGGATTTGGGACCAGCACGTGTCTTGACACTCGTCTCATCCTCGATGCACTTGATCACACAAGGCTTTTCACCTGGATGTGGCACTACTCCAGTCAATACGCCACTAATGAATGGGAAAGTCACCGCTGTCGATGCACCCGTTACTGGCAACGATACTGCTCGTATACTGGAGCCCGAGCCACCATCCAGAAGGAAGCTCCTCTTGCCATCCTGTGAAAGGCCATCGCAGGTTATATCTCGACCAGCTCCACCAAAGGAGAGCCCACATGGCCTCGCAGGGAAACAGCTTGTCTGTGTTCAAGAAGTTGGGCCATCACACATTGATCCAGACGAAAATACCAGCCCGGTGGCAAGTGAGCAATGCCCCAGCCTGCTGTTATCAGGAAACGAGGACACAGAGAACATTGAGTCCATGCTGGCGCTTTTGGCAATTCCAGAAGAGAGCAACACCCAAATGGCAACTAGCAGCGGTGCTGGGCCCAGCAACATTTTGGTGGAGATCGTTTCAGAGGAAGAGTATGTCCTGGTAGGCCGAGAGGTTGCAGAAGAAACATTGCAGCAGTTGAAGAAAGAAGCACGAGAAGGGTTGGACCTTGGAGACGTTGACATGGAGCAGTGCAAGAAGATCATCCAAGATTTTTCCTTCAACGTGCAGTTACGGTAAGGTAGTGAGCAACTGTTGTAACATTAACAGTTGATGGTACGGTAGGAGCATGCAACACTCCATATATCAATCAGACATCGGACATGATTCATAAGCAGGCTTGAAATGTACTCGTGTCAGTTGAGTGCTGCTTTAACCAGTGGAACTAGCCTCCCATTAGTATCCAAGTCTTTTGCTAGGCGGTGGCTGTCAACGGGGTGAACTGTCACTTCAACCTGCCACATCCACAACAGGTGTTGAGATAAATCTGCACAAAAATGCTCCTAGCACCATGTTTTGTGCTGTGTCAGCATTGCTGCTGCTGACAGTGATTAAACCAGGCCCGAAACAAAGCATGCTCCATTCAAGCTCTCACCTGAGGCAGGTGCTCAACCAGTCGAGCCTGCGCAACATCATGAGACCAATTCCCACAATGTACATGAACGTGTGGGGACTCTTGTCCAGGTATCCTTGGTTTTGAAGCAGCAGGTTCTGCCATTGAGGAGAGGAGGTTCTGTGTGAACGAGCTGAGCCAAGCTGAGTCACGACCAGGCCGAATACTGGCTGAGATAAGGTCCACCTGCAAGTCACCAGAAACACGGCTCTAGTAAGCTTGGTGTCCCGCAAAAACACAACGAGGCTGGAAAAACCAAAACTTGCAGAGGAGCAAACTAACCTGCGGACAAAACGCGAGAACAGTCGATCCGAATTCCGAAAACATGAGGGCAGCCGAGGCACCCATGGAATCTCCAATCATGACCACACGGTCATATCCCTCCACTGCTGCTGCAATCTCCCTCCGGTAGTATGCCCCATCTGTGTAGCCACAAGCACTAGGACCAACTTGTGATGAATCAACTGATGTGTTGGATGCAACCGGGGACTGCACTGATACTGAAGGCCATGTAGCTGGGGTAGTTGAAACTGATGGATGTAGACCTTGGTTCATGGAGAAGGCACCGACATGAGAGAGCATAGGAGGTGGCGCCAGGTTCGCATTGCTTGCTGCTGATGTGAGTGTGGAGAGGGGAGCGTGCGTGTACCAGGAGCGGGTGGAATCGACGACGTAGAGTGTGTCAAAGGGTGTGGTGGTTCCTCCCATGGCTGCTGTGAGACCCATGTCTCCCTTCACCTTGCGCAGCAGCCCCGCCCTGACACAGATGCAACACAGTCCAATCAAGAGTCACCTGAATCTCACTACCAATGCTGCCAAATCCATCTCTGCTGCCGCATTGCCACATTTTGAAAAACACTCGCTTGCTAACTGAATTTTGAGAGGGGAAAATAGGGTCTAGCTCACCAGTTGGGCACGGCTGGAGCGCTGCCAAAGGCCACAAGCAGCACTTCAGAGCGGTGGCCCTCTGCCTCTGACGCAGAATCTACGTGCTGCCATGGCTGCACCTGAGCGGGTGAAAAAAATAGAGGGGTCAGGGAAAAAGATAATCTAGGGCTAACGGTAGTGATTGAGTGGTACAGACCGGGACAGCAATTTTTCTTCCACACGTTGACATGGCCGTACAGCCTTCTAGCCTGGCAGCTGCTCGTTTCAGCACAAATCAGGACCCCTCTTTCCACACACTAACCTTGAAATAGCCACCGTCTCGTTGCGCTGCCCCAGTCCCTGCCAGCCGGCTGACAAGCACGTTGCTTGGAAGAGGTGGCTGCATGCCCTGTGATGGTACCAGCTGCTGCGAGTCTACCCCCACAGTCTTGATTCGATGAAAGGTGTCGGAGAGACTGGTGTGGGAGAGCGAGAGAGGATTGCCCTGCAAGAAGAGGGTGGGAAGAAGAGGGGATGCAGAGGTGTGATTCGAAGACGGACAGTGGGAAAGATCCAAGTATTGAAACCGAACTGGAAAGGACAATCTGTGCAGTTGCATCAGCAGTTGAGTGCGCATCGCATGGTATCGTGACATGCATAAAAAAAACAATGATTGGATCACTACCCCGAGAAAACAGTCCACAAGATCATAAGTGTTCCATTTCTAAGAGGCCGTACCTCGAGCCAGAGGTTGGCAAGGCGAGAGCAGTCTGCTAGGTCTGGTGGCAGGTGAGCGATAGAATTGCCGTAGCTAATGGACGTTGTGGGGATATAAGGGGATAACACGGAAAAAGGCAAGTTTTCTTGTTGTAGATTGAATGGGGGATGGCTTGACGCGGAAAAAAGCAAGAGAAAACACAGGTGGCAAATAATTTACTATGCGACGGGATGCTGTTGCCAGACTGCCACACTCACAATACAGGTGGAAAGCAGCAAATCGAGCCGCCACGCTATGTGATACAGAACGGTACTACGATGAAGCGAGATAGAGAGGGGCACTGAATGGTACCGAACATCACAGTGAGGTAAAGAGCAGTACGGAGAGGTACTCACAGCCAGAGAGATTCAAGAAAGGGCAGCTGTGCTAGCGTGCCTTGTGGGATGGCTGACAGGCAGTTGTCGGCAAGTGAGAGTTGGCGGAGGGAGCGCAGAGAGAGCGGAGGGAGGGAGGATATGCGGTTGCCCTGGGCACGGGGAGAAGGGAGGGAGACGAAAAAAGGGGAAGAAAGAGTGAGGCGGGATGGAGGTACAGATGGCATGGGAGGAGAGAGCAAGGGCAATATAGAGAGTGAAGTGACATGAAGGGAGGGAAGAGGTGGGAGACACCTGAGCAGAGACCAACCACCTGAAGCCACACCTGAAAGCACACCTCAGGTTACACCTGAGCGCTCACTTGAAGAAAGAGCTCCTGAAGGGAGGAGAGGTGGGTGATGGAGGGTGGTAGGGCTGTGAGAGCGTTGCCGTAGGCAGCTAGGACCCTTAGAGAGGCGAGCGACCCGATGCCTGGGGGGAGAGGCGAGGACGGAGGATGGGAGCTTGAAAAGTGGAGATTTTCTGGAAAAAAATTGACCTTTTTGAGGAAGAAGAATGAATGGAAAAAATAGATGGAAAGGAAGATGAAGTGAAAGCGCATGCGAAGCCAAACGTAAGGGGCCTTTCAGTGATGACACAATGGGCACAGAGGAAAACGAGGACATACTTTGTGGTAACTCTTCGAGCTGGTTACCAGCGACGGACAGCACCTGCAGTGCCGTCAACCTGCCCAGCGTGTGTGGTAACCGCGTCAACTGGTTGCCTGCGAGAGCCAGGAAGCGCAGCGCTGTGAGGTGGCCGATCTGAAGGAGGAGAGGAGGAAGGTGAGCGTGGAGTCAAGGAGGAGAGAGAGAAGGGAAGGGGAGTGAGTGTGGGAAGGCAGGGGCAGAATGAGGCTCTGAAGCTGGCTCCTGGCAATTGCAAGAAGGAGAGATGACTGTAGGACTCAACTCACACACTGATGTACTCGCTATAAGGCGCACTGTCCTGTATCCACTACAAGGCACACTCTTCTATACTCGTTAACGGCACACAGTGCTGTACCCGCTATAAGGCACCTCGTCTGGGAGCTCTTGAAGCAGGTTCCCGTGAAGCCACAGCCCCTCCAGCTGCGTCAGATGGCCGATTTCAGGTGGCAGCCGCTGCAGCCTGTTGCCTGCTAGACCCAGCCGGCGCAGCTGGTGGGGTGTGGAGGCAAAAGGGCGAAAGGGAGAGGTAAAAAAGGGGTCAAATTCACACCAGTGGTGGCGCCGCTGCAAGCTGTTGCCTGCCAGCCCCAGACGGCGCAGCTGATGGGGTGTAGAAGGAGCCTGTTGCCAGAGGTCAAATTCACACCACTGGCGGCAGCCGCTGCAGCCTGTTGCCCGCAGACCCAGCCAGCGCAGCTGGTGGGGTGTGGAGGTGAAAGGGAGAACAGGGGGAGGTAAGAAAGGTGAAAGCGTAAAGGGAAGGAGGGGAAGGAGAGCGGCAGGAAAGGGGAAGGGTAGTATGGAAAGTTTGGCAATCTTAGGAAGGATCGACTCGACTTGATTGCCGGCCAGAGAGAGAGAAAGTGAAGGGGAATGCAACTGCAGGCTTACTTTGGACAGGCTGGCAATCTCAGGAGGGATGGATTTGATTTGATTGCCGGCCAGAGAGAGGTTGGAGAGTTCTGAGAGGTGAAGAACAGTTGGGGGGATGGCCGTCAGGCCTGGGGAGGCGGAATAGGGGGAAAGGGGAAGGGGAAGGGAGGGGGGGTTTTGGGGAAGGGGAGGAAGAGAGGAGGGGAGGATAAAAAAGGGACTGAGGGTAAGTCCCAAAACTTGAAACCTTGTTGGGGATCGAGATGGGAATCAGGCTTAGAAACTGAGTGATAGGGGGCCAAAGCGGATGACTTTTGAGAAGTCTCAAAAACGAGGCTTAGAAGCTGAGTAATAGGGGGGGCAAAGCGGATGGATATCAGGGGAAGGCGAAACACAGGCGGGGACGAGGAGAGAAACTGGGCAGTTCGGGGAATGGGGGAAGACAATGGGGGAAACGAGGAAACGGGGAGGCGAAAGACCAAGGGGGAAGTGGGGAAAACGCGGAGGCGGAAGACCAAGGGGGAAGTGGGGAAAACACGGAGGCGGAAGACCAACGGAAAGGTGGGGTAAAACGCGGAGGAGGAAGACCAACGGAAAAGTGGGGGAAAACGGGGAGGCGGAAGACTAAGGAGAACTAGGGGAAATGGGGAACGGCTGTCGTACCGCAGTCGCTAAGGTCCAACGCGCCCGTGTTGGCGGCCACAGCGATTCTCGCCTCCACCTCACTCGCGCTGGCCGCGTTGACCGCGTTGACCGCGTTGACCCGTATAGACGCCGCAGAGGGGCGGTATGTGAGTCGCCCTGCCGCATGAACGGCCAGCGCGGGGGAAAGGCTTCCGAAAGAAGCGCTGCGAAGGTCTTTTGCGAGACGTCGCTGCAACAGGCATGCGCCGAGACGACATTCTGCGCGGGTTGGAGTACAAGGCGCGCGCTCCCCTCGCTCGGCGGAAGCGCGTGGCGCATGCGCAGCGGCGCGGGGGTTTAGGCGGGTGGAATCTCGATTTGCGACGGAAACAAAGTAACGGGCGCTGCGCGGCACTGGTGATCGAGACGGTGTGAGTGAGGACGTGTGCGGGAAAGCGGGTTCGAGCAGACGAGCCATGAGGGGAAATCTGATCGCGGTGCGACACGCATTTCACGAAATGTCTGCCCGCAAAAGGCGGTCAGAATCAGGTAAGAGCGGCAAGAGCTACCATCCCCTAATGAATTCCTCATCCATAGTTTCACACGCTCAGTCAGAAGCGCGGATTCATCAGGATGATTAAATCTTCGCTATAGAGATTTGCGCGTCTCAACCATGTAACAACACGGCTTCACCCAAATTTCACGCCACTACATACTAAACAATAATAATGAAACATCATCTTGAAATGACCTGGTCAGCTAAAAGTCTACCTACTCTTGACGTGAGCGCCAGCCAAGCGAATACCGAGACCTGTAATGAGAGAGGGTAAGATGCAATGACCATGTCTTAAATGTTTAGTTTGCAATTGGGAAAATATTTAGTTTATGAATGCTGACACAACGTGCTGAATAGGCGATATGCAGCTACCTGACATGGGGTAGAAATATACAATGTATCAATGCAAACAGTATACATTTAGGAAGCGTGCAACGGCTGGGAGGGCATGAGAGGGTTTAGGCACTCACAGCTCCGCCTCCTTGCCACTTGGCTCCATGGGGGAATGCAAGCATTGACCCTACAGAGATGGTGAATGTATCATTTTGGTAGGTGAACAAGGAGCACACTTTAGTAATGATAGTAGAAAAGGGTCAATAGGCTGATGAATGGCAACAGAGATGGTGAATGTATCATTTTGGTAGGTGAACAAGGAGCACACTTTAGTAATGATAGTAGAAAAGGGTCAATAGGCTGATGAATGGCATTGAATACTGAAGATGAGACAGCTACACTTGAACAGGAAACATCACAGCACAGGAGAGTTCAGGGGCACAGCGGCTGTCATCAGAAGAGTAGCTGTGCAGCAGTGCTCACCGAATGGATAGACGACGTCCACCGGCAGAATGACAACGGGCTTGGAGCGGAACGAGAGCACCAGCAGCACATAGGCGCATGCCTGCACAGGAGTGCAGCAGAGTGGAACGAGTGAAAAATAAAAGAGCAAAACTGAGTAAGAGAATGGAGCACATTTTTGGGACGTTTGAAAATTAAGATGCCTCATGATTCGAGATCCGCAATTCAGTGGCGATGGTGCTTGGACCGATCGACCAGAGGCCAGATGATGTACGCCCATCCACCACCCACATAGAGTCGTTCTAACTGAAGACGTGCATGATGTATGCGATGCGCATGTGCATGTGCATGTGCATGTGCACGTGCACGTGCATGTGCATGTGTACATCTGTGGATGTACCTGTATGGTGTATGGGAGGACAAAGCGAATCAGCGTCCACCAGATACGGGATGGCTGCGCCTTCACTGCCAAATAGCATAGGGGGAATGGATTGAAGGACTTGTGCATGTGCAGAGGCAAACATGGAATCAGGAAACCAAAGCACATGAATGGAAGATGCACAAGAAGTGGTGAGATTCCATGACAGGATGAGCACCATGCGCGGCGATTCACATCACGTACAGGCGTTCAGCTCTTTCTCCTTGGCAGTGGCAGTGCGAGTTAGAAGTGCAGAGCGAGAGAAGGTGCTGGGGCTGTGGGTGGGGAAGAATCAGGGGGGGGGGGGGGTAGAATGAGGTAGGGGAAGAATGAGATCTGGGAAATCATGAAGACGGGGGACGATGCGGACCGGGGGAAGAAGAACGAGCTACAGGGGAGAAATGTCGACGAAGGAAGGCTACGAACCGAAAAGCAGGAGTTCCATAAACGAACGACACAGCAATAACCAGCAAAATCTCGATTCGCAGGACTCACGTGTTCAGCCGATTCGCCTCCTTCTTGAGGCGCTTTATCTCCGCCGCAAGAGCCGCCTCTTTCCGCGCTGAAAGATTCTCCTGGCCACGGAAACGGTGCGTTAGACAAGCCACGCGTTAATCAGGTGTGTTTCGATCCGAGTCCAGTCACAAGCCGCCAAGGCTGCGTTATGAGACCACGAGGAATTCATATAACGAGGAGAACGCGTGCCAGACGAGCTTCACGTATGAAAGCAAGGCTGGGATCGCTTCGGTTGCAAATCAACGGGGCGCATGAAGAGATACTACGGGTATATATTCTATCTGGGGCAATCATAAAGTCGACGCGCGTACCGGGAGGAAGCGGCGAAGTGCTCTCAAGATCACCTCGCCGAGGACCACTATAACGAACGTGGCTATAGCGGGAGGCAACGTCAGAACCTTCATGGCAAATTCCTCACAACATAAGATGTGAGAGAGGGATCTTAGGGCGGAATTGCTTGCATCAACCTAGGCCTCACTCTGTCAGCTCGTCCCTAGTCCTGGTAAGTTACTCTTCAGCTGTTAAACCGCGCATCGTGACTCTGACGAGTAGCTACTAAAGACGTGTCAGCGGTCCTTCTACGCGAAATCGCCACGCCACCCTCCGTTCTGGCTGGAGCAGCTGAATTTGCAGCCTGGTACGGCACCGAGCCGTTCAGGTTCGGTTCAAAATGCCGCACCCAGCCTCGAGTTCCAAACCTCGACAAATGAAAACTCGTTACAGGAACACCAAATGCAGCCACACTGCAAAATCTCGATGTGAGCCGCGGGCTGCCGAAAATCGGCAATTCGTGATATTTGTGTGACAGGAACTTGGTGTCAGAAAAGGTTTTAGAGCTTAGTTAAACGTCACCACGGAAGCCTTTGATATGCCACGTCAACTGGTAGCCCAGTTGACACATCACATTGGCCCAGCACACACCAATCCGTGAAGGATGATGCTCTTTTGAGCTTCTTTGTCAGGTGGGGAAATATAGGCGGTGATATCCTCGTTACAGGCAAAGCACTCTGGCTGTCAGTTCCATGTCAGACCACTAGCACAAGATTCTCCCAGTTTCGGTTATTTTAGTTTGACAGCCAGCCATCAGTGACGCCGATTCGTTCCTTCTGCTTCAGTAGGTAGCAAGAGTTTCTTCAGTAGGTGACCTCCTAGTAACTAGTGCCCGCAATCGTCAGGACTCTCATATGTTTGTGAAAACAGGTCCTTCGTGTCGCATGGCCAGATGTTTCCGCCGTCAATTCGACGGGTTTCTTACTTGCTTAGACTGCGAGGGATTCTTTTCGCGAGTACTCTTTCTGCGACGAGCTGGCGCTTTCGCTGACGACCGTTGCTGTGCTGTCACTACTCGGTAACAAAGCTAGCACTTTCTAGGGATCCCAGGAGTAGTGGTTGCGAAAGACTGCATCAGTCACAGTATTTGGAATCAGACTTTTTGGCCCTAGAATCTACCATAAGCCTGGACGCGCTTCAAATCTATTCAGGCTCTCGTGAATGATGGGAATTGCTGCTGTAAGTCAGGCCGTGAGATGTTGAGCCAATCTTCTGACACAAAGTTGGACTTTGCGCAGTTGGTCTCTGAGACTTCACAATAGCCAACTTAACCTCCTCCCATGGCGCCCACGCGCTATTCCCTCTCCATCAAACCCCCCGACCGCGCTGCGGAAGATGGATCCGCGGAAGCCCCCCCGCGGAGAAGCAGCCTCAGCAGCAACTTCACCCCTGGGGGAATCGGAACCGCAGCTGGCGGAGCACCCGCTGGCGCAGCAGGCGGAGCGCGGGGGTCGGGGGGGGCGGGCAGAGGGCACTATGACGCCGGGCCTTGGGCTATCCGCGTTCCCTATCAGGATGCGGACGTGCGAAGTGTCCTGGAAGCAGGCAGGGATCCGTGGAGTTGCGCAGCAGGCGACGGCGCGGGGAGGCAGGGTGGCGCTGATGCCAGCTACGGCGCTGGGGGGGGAGCGGGGGGAGTGAGCGGGGAAGGTGGACCCGGGGGAGGTGCATCTGGATCAAGATTCGGGTTCGAGGGCGGCAGGATCCAGCGGAGGTTCTCTCTTTCCACCCCGCGGGAGATCGCCAGGCTGGCGCATGCGACGAGCGGCAGCGCCAGTGGCGCCAGTGGGCCTGAGAGGCACGGGCTACAGGCTCACCCGCCACAGGTGCAGGCGCAGGTGCAGCAGCTGCTGTACCCGCTTCACCAGCACCTAACCCAGTTGCAGCAGCAGCAGCAACAACTGCAGCAGCAACAGCAACAGCAAGGGCAAGGGATTAACATGCCAGGCACACCCCGTCGTCCCACTTTCTACCGAGGCCTCTCCTCTTCTTATGAGGAGGCCGCCCAAGATGCAATCGCAGCCGTTCAGGCTGCGCAGGCAGCAGCAGCCGCCGCGTCAGCCAACGGCCCTTCCAATTCCGGCTCGTTTTCCACTGTTGGTTCGGGCAGTTTCAACAATTCCATGGGTAATTTCCTACGGCAGCCAACTACCCCTCGGTCGATACCACCGTCTCAGTCATCCACCCGGGTCGAGCGGTTGCTGAGGGAGAGGCAGATGAGGCGCAGCTCGAGCTTCCTCCAGTTCGACGTGGATTCGGTGGACGGGCGGATCATGACGCCACGTGGCATTGCCACGTCACACGGCAGTGCTGGGTCAATTGCTGGGCCGCCGGCTCCTGGCGGAACAGGAGGAGCATTGGGAATGGGAGCAGGAGGCGGAGGAGGCGGAGGGGGAGGGGGAGGAGGGGGCGCAGGAGGGGGCGCAGGCGCAGCGTGGGTGCCAGGGCGTGCGCCCATGGTTGGCCGAGCCAGCACCGCCTCCCGAGGCAGCTTCGCGTTTGGCGCGGCAGCCCGAGGCACCAGGTCCGGGCCACTAGCCCCGGTGGACCTCATGTTAGGCCCGGACAGCCGGAACTCCAGCTATGACAACCTGGCTGCTGTTGCCGCTGCTCACACCCCCCACAGCTCATCCATTCCCACCCCTTACACCTCCACACCACCCCGCCTCCCCTCTGCCGTCCCCTCACCATACCCTCTCGCTTCCTCTCCCCACATGGCCTCATCACCTGCCATCCCACGCCCGGCAGGCTCCACGCCCCGCCTGTCGTCGTCCCTCACAGCCTACCCGGGGTTCAGGGGTGGGGGCGCCATGCAGCGCGTGCAGAGCAGCGGGGAGCTCACTGCTGCGGCGGCACAGGCAGCAGGTTTGACGGATAGGATCCCGGAAGAGGGGATGGGAGCGGGGGACGTGGGAGTGGGGGGTGCGAGTCCTGGGGTGACGGTGCTGCCAGGGGTGGCTGGGATTCCGGGTCCGGGAGTGGCTGTTCCGGGGGGTATGGGAGCAGGGGGAACAGGGCCGGCTGTAGCAAGGCCGGCTGTAGCGGGGGCGGATGTAGGTAGGCCGGCTGCAGCGGGGTCGCCTGTAGCAGGGCCGGCTGTAGCGTCACCACAGCATAGGATGGGAGGTAGGCCAGGCACCCCTAGCCATGTTCTAGACCCTGGTCGGATGCTAGAACCGTTGGGACCAGCAGCAGCAGTGTCTCTCGCAGCAGAAGCAGAGGCAGAAGCAGCAGCAGCAGCAGCATCGGCAGGACCAGCCATGGCAGCAGCAGCAGCAGCAGCTGCAGCAGCAGCGATCCCTCAGCCTGTACCAGTCGAGCCTCCCCAGATGGAACCTCCGCCGACCTCGCCGCCTGCGCCGGCCGCGCAGCAGCGCATGCAGCGGCTGCTGATAGTGGCCAATCGCCTGCCCGTGCGGGCCAGCCTGCAGCCCGACGGCACGTGGGCGCTGGAGCTGTCCGCTGGAGGGCTTGTGAGCGCGCTGCTAGGTGGGTGCCATAGCTGCTTGAGTGCTGCGGCTGGGTGGGTGCCGTGCTGTGTGTTGGCGTCAATGCATGCAGCCTCCTCACCACCTATTCCCCTCCAATGCATACAGACGTGAAGCAGAACTTTAAGACGTGCTGGATAGGCTGGCCGGGGCTGTACCTGCAGGCGTCAATGGCAGGCTTGCTGCTGGGAGTGATAGTCGTTGTTCCGTCCCTGCTCCACCTACACCTCACCCATACTTCCTCCCTCAATGCGTGCAGGCGTGAAGCAGAACTTTGAGACGTGTTGGATAGGCTGGCCGGGGCTGTACCTGCACTCGCCCGCGGATCAACAGCAACTGCACGACGCCCTGCAGGCCAAGGTGCGGCGCTGGTTCCCATCCCATCACAGGAGGCTTGATAGGGGGCCATGATGCAGGGGCTCTCATTTGGGGCTCAATGGAGGGGCACAGGTAAGGGGCGCATAGAGGGTTCACAGAGGCACAGTAAGGGTTTGGTGACTGCGAAGGGCAGCTTCCCATGAGCGAGGTTCGAGACGGCCAACAACTCGTCCCCTCCCTCCCCCGTCGTGTCCCCACTGCCTAGGCTGTGTACCTGTGTTCCTGACGAGCACACAGTGAACGCCTATTGCAAAGCCTACTGCCACGCCTGCTGCTGCAACAGCGTGTGCCACATTAAGTCAAAGCACACCGAGACTCACACCATCTCTCTTACTCTTCCCCTCTGTGCCCTTCTTTCCCGCCACTCACAATGAACGCGTGCTACAATGGGTACTGCAACAACGTGCTGTGGCCGCTGCTGCACTACATCGGGCTGCCTCAGGCTCATGCCATCTCCCCTTCCTCACCCCCTTCCTTGCCCTTCTCTCCCTCCTCCCCACCACCAGGGCTGTGTGCCGGCATTTTCAGACGAGAGCACAATGAACTCGTACCACAACGCGTACTGCAACAACGTGCTGTGCAACAACAAATTCAAGCACAGCTGGACTACCGCCCCCTCTCCCTCTTCCCTACCGTGCCCCTTCCCACCACCAGGGGTGCGTGCCTGTGTTCCTAGACGAGAGCACGATGAACGCCTTTTACAACGCGTACTGCAACAACGTGCTGTGGCCTGCCCTCACACCACTCTCTTTCCCTCCTCTCCTGTGCACTTCTTTCCAGGGATGCGTGCCCGTGTTTCTGGACGAGAACACAATGAATGCGTATTACAATGGCTACTGCAACAACGTGCTGTGGCCGCTGCTGCACTACATCGGCCTGCCCCAGGAGGACCGCCTCTCCGCCACGCGCTCCATCCAGGGCCAGTACGGCGCGTACCGCTCGGCCAATCACAGCTTTGCTGACGTGGTCATGGCTCAGTACCGGCAGGGGGACATTGTGTGGGTGCATGACTATCACCTCATGCTGCTGCCTCAATACCTCAAGGCCCGCAGCCCCAAGTGAGTGTTCAGCTGGCTTAGAGGTAGCATGTCCTTCCCTCGTGTCCTTCTCTCGTTGCCTTCATGTCGTGCACGCGCCTGGCTCGTTTCAGTGCTTGCAAATGTGTAACTGGTTATGCACCTCTCCCCCCATCACCCGCCAGCATGAAG